TGTAAGACTTATCTTGATTGAAAGGTGTTAAATGGAACTTCAGAGTCTGGAGTCATGAGACCATGTTGTCTTTCTTGCAGCGAATGCCATACATAAGACAAACATTTGCTGCAAATTAAACTTTCAGCCATCTCCAACCATCTGACAAAGGGGCCCCAAAAATGCTGCCCTGTCTAGCAGACTGAGAGTGATGTGCTCTTGCACCCGGGTGTGAAGGGCCAGCCCTCCTCAGCTCATCTAAGAGGGCACAGTAAACCGTATGCTGGCCCAGGCCCCACCGGGCGAACAGAACAAACCCCAAACACCTGCCCGATGGCTGGGGCTATCGTCTGTGCCCCAACGATTTGCTGGTGAAGGAAAAGTTCAAGACACAACCTACCAGGTGGTTCAGAAAAAAAAATGATAAAACCATTCACAATAAAATAAAACATGCTTTACACAGCATACATTCTTCATTTTTATCTTTAAAAGGAATTATGCCAGGCACTTTCACATCGGGTTCCACTCACAAAAGAGGCATTATCATCACCATTTCTAGATGAACTCAGGGGGGCTGACGACCTGCTCAGACCACTTTAAAAGGAAAAAAACAAGGAGATGGACCCAGATTTTCTTACTCCAAGACAGAGCCTTCCCTTCACTGCTGCCACCAGGTGCAAATATGCAAAAAAAAAAAAAAAAAAATCCAACACTATGAACCAAGGCAAAAAATTTCTTTTAGGTTTGAAATCTAACCAGCAAAGTGCAGGTACAAAAATGCACTTCATAATACTCTACATTCTATCCTAGATCCTTCAGTCTTTAATTTCCAAATCGTGCCATCTAGCTTTGGAATAACAGACAAAACACCACTCTGAGAAGGAATGGAGATGCACAGAATAGCGAAGGAAGAACAATGGAAGCACAGCACCTGTCAGAAGAAAAGCATCCCCGAATTCCCGACCCCTGCGACCAGGGAGCAGTGACTTCAAGAGCCACACCAGTTAAAACCAGCTCAGGAAACCAGACACACACTGGGACAAGCACTCTCCTTTCTGGAAAAGCAAACCCTTTCAGACCGTACTAAACCTGCTGTGTATAGAGAAACTCCTTGGTTCATTTTCACCCTGATTTTATATAATAAGGAACAAGCCTAAGTTATTTTCTTCCTCTCCAAACCTGTATTTCTACTTGGTAATTTTGCTACTCTCCCTGTGCCATTTTTAGTAGGTTTTATCTCCCCAGATACACTCTCAGAAGCAGGGACCATGACTGTCCTCTTTTAGATCACCCAAATAAAAACTATTTGGATGATGCAAAGCATTACTTTGCATAAAATAAGAATTTAAAAATGTTTATTATACTCACCATTTTGCTGAAATGAATATTTTAATTCTAAGTAACTAAAAATCATGGAACATAGTAGACACACAAAAAATATTCCCTAGTGGAATTAAAATAGAGTGTTAGAAAACACATTTTTCATCAGTATGAGAAATCTCACCTCTTCCCTCTGACTGGCATTGACCATCCGCCTGGTTTTTCTTGTCTTAGGAGCAGCCCAGGGTCTAGGAGTAGACACTGGAAAGAGATGTTTTAAAGTTATCAAGGACGCATCTGCTCACGTAGTAACACAGTGTAGCATCTGATATTATACATTTTCACTACCCTATAAATAGAAAGGAATATGAATTCACATTGAGATACTTTGCTTAATATTTAAGATCAACTTTAATATTTGAACAATAAATGCATTCTTTTGCCACAAAACTGGAAATTTACAGCCCTTTCTTTCAAAATTTATTCTGGGATTTCAATATTTAACAATATTATTTACATACATGAATGCTGGTAGATCTTTTATTTATCACTGTATAAAAATCAAAAATTATATCAATATGTTTCAATTCTTAAAATTCCAAGAAAAACTAAACTTATTTTGGTAGAGACAAAAAGCACATTTTATATGTAGCATTTAAATATTCCAAAATTATAGTAAACAGCATTTGTATTTGGAACAAGGTCCTGTGTTTTCTAGAAAATGTTACTATTTTTCTTTTGTGAATGTTTATGAACAGGCTGCTAACTTGGGTGCTCAGACTCCTTGGCATCACATACGGAGGTCTGGTCTCATGATTGCAACAAATCCATGATGACCAGATGGATGATGGAGATTTCCAGTGGTTGGGACGTCTCCTCACACTGATCTATTAGAAAACATAGAACACTTGCTAATGGTGGAAAGAAATGTTTTGACAACAGATACTCTTCCGAGCCCATCACAGAACCTCCCTACGTCACCTGCACACCTATGTGCTCTCAAGAGTGAGAACCATTGTTTTGGGGGTTTTTTGTTCCTTCTATCTCTAATTTAAAACCTTCATTCAGATGTCCCAGTTTCTGTGTCCACTCAAAAAGATCCACAGTCTGTGTGTTCCCAGGATTTAAGTCCCGTTTACATATATAAATGGGCATGTCAGAGTGAACAGCCATAAGCCATTCATTCCGCAATGACCAGATCCAAACTGTCCCTCCTTTGTCCCTCCTTGCTTCCTTTCACTGGAGAGCACTGGCCCCTCGCCCTGAATTCCCAGGTGGAGGAGCTTTCTCAGCAGGCTTCCCACACCACCCCGCCCTTCGCCCTTTGGGAGCTCTGCGTGCACATGAAAAAGCGACAGGCCCTTTTGCTCCGACACACCTCACCACAATTTGCCCTTGAATTTTTCTGTTCTAAAAAACAAAAAGTTAATTTACTAAGAATGTTTAAATCTTCTCTGGAAGTCAACTTTTTGTGTTAATGGATTAAGTGCCCAAATTTTGGAAGAAATCTGCAAGTTTGAGCAAAACGTCTTTAGACATTTTTATGGAAACAGCACATAACAATATTTGGGGTAATGTGAAAGATGACATTGTCTATAAAACCCAGAACATAGGTTGGGGAAGAGAGTCTAGAATATTCATGCAAGATATTAACATGAATACGTAGCTAATAAAAGATGATGCTCACCTAAACATACTTTGCCTTAGCATTTTGCCCAAAGGAAAAGCTGTGACTATCAGCCGGTCATGTTCACTGTCCGGCATGGCCTACACCGGTACCTGGCATGGGGAACATCTAATAAATACTTATGCGAGAATCTGAGGGCGCTTCGCTCACCCTGAAGCACTACAGACCTCAGAGAAGGTGGGATCCGTCTCCCAACCCTATGAAGCTCTTCCATGGGCTACTCGATCCAACGCATTCATCTGAAAGCATCGCAAGCCACCCAGTGGTGTTGGTTAGAGTTTCATTCACTTTCCCACCACTGGCGTCTCCTACATGCTTAACAGCTACGCTTCCATGAGCGTCCATGATACCATTGGGATGAAACCCACCGTGGGATATGAGCGGTGTTATAGGACTCGACAAAGTAAATTTAACTTACAAAATTTCTTGCAACCCTACTTTAAAATCTCATGTTCTCAAACCTCAAACAGTTTTTGGGAACATTAGATTTTCATCCCTCAGCTATTTATCGCATGTCTTTGTGCACAGTACTTAGCAAGGAGGAAATGCCCAACATTTATTGAAATGAATTTCTTCACTCTGGTGAGAGAGGCAGCCCAGGTACTGAGGGAAAAAGTGTGCAGTTTTTTCTCACCCTGAGATTTGGATCTTGATTATTGCTGTCACGGACGTTAGTTCACTAAAGGAAATATCAACCATATAAGCACGATTTTACAGCGCCTATTTATTTAAAAAATTATATTGAAATCCACATAGTTTCAAAAAGACACTTCGAAAATCTCGTAAAAACACCCCACCTGTAACGTTAAACTAACTGGAAGGCAGATTATATCACTACTTCCCAGGACTCAGTTAAAAAGTGAAAACACTTATCAAAATCCAGAAGAAACAAATAGGAAAAATACAAACTTTTAAATTTTATATTCTGGATATAATTTTTTGTTGGATTTCTGTTCCACAAGCTTCTTCCTGGATCAGCTTCCAAAACTCTTCAAAGGGGCTCACGTTCTTCAAGGGTCCACATTTGGCCAACTCCCTTGGCAACTCTGTAATTTTATTTTCAGAGAGAACAATAATTGTATTTCAATGATATTTTAGTGACAAATTATAAGTCAGCAGATAATTAGGAATTTAAAATCCCATTTCTAAGCATCAAGAGTATAACATGTGGATACCTTACAGGTATCTGATTAGGAAAGTGTTATTTTCAAGAGTAATTGACCCCAAAAGAGTAATACCTTTGAAAGTCTCTGTCCTTAAATTCCAGGGGTTCATTTGTATTTAAAAATTAAAGGGAACAATTTGAAGGGAAGTAAACTGGACTTTTTTTTTTTTTTCTTTCTCCTCTTTCTCCTCTTCCTTCTATCCTCAATAGTAGTAGCTAGGAGTTAATGTAAGGGCACTTCTTTGGAAGATGCTGGTGGAGCATAGGAGAGCATTAGGGACAAAAAGGAAAAAGAGGGGAAGAGTAGCCTTGAGGACAGTGAGAGGAAGTAGATAAAGATAACTGTCTTTTACAATTCAATTTTTAATTTTATCTCCCTTTGACGGGGAGACTTTAGAATTACCATACACTATAAACCAATTGTCACTTAGGAATATGCTGCTATGGTAATAAATGATGGCATCAGGATTCTCACCTCTTCTAAATATCATTTCATCTCTTAGAAATTGGGAGGACATGTCACACTGATAAGGCATGTTTTAGTAAGTATAACTAGATATATGGAGCAGCTTCTTTAAAAGAAGGAGGACAGCCCAGAAAAACTAATTAGGGATTTTTAACTCGGGGATGGAATTTCCCGTGTTCAGTTCAAGGAGAATAAAATCAAGGAACAAAGGGCTCTAAAAGGATTGGGGTTTTTTGGTTGTGTTTTTTTTTTTTTTGATGATGATGCAAATGTAACTGACGTCAGCACAAATCAGACAATGTTTTCTCTCCAATTTCTGAAGCAATTCCTCACTATGTGAGGTCGTTCTCGGTGGCGGCTGCGGTGGCCCCCCCAGGTAGGTTCCCTCCCTCCCTGGGCAGGAAGAACTTGCATCCACCACGGCTGTGCCTGGCGCTGTGCTCAGAACAGAATGGCGCTGAAATGAAAGGGACGCCTGTCGTGTGGTGCCAGTCTTCACGAGCGCCTGCGAGGGTACGGAAAGCAGACCCTCAGCAAGTGTAGGGGTTTGGGGGGCATGATGTTGGGGTGTCCCCTCCTGTCCGGCTTTCCGCGTTTCACATGCCCCTGAGCGGCTGACAGGGTCTGGCACTGCTCCCACCTACCGAGGGCAGAGGCGCTGCGGGGTCCGGGCCCCCCAGTTCCTGGGTCGTTACGACGATGAAGCATGTTTGAGAGGAGACACACAGAACACTGCGGCAGGGGCAATGCCCCGCTCCCAGCTTGCCCTAAGTCCTCCTGGGGGGGCACCCGAGCGCGGGGGGCACTCGGGGAGTGGGCAGGGCGCGCGCGCGTGTGATGGGTGCACGTCCCGGCGCGATGCGCGGCGTGGGGGGGCACGCGGGGGTGCGGTGCAATGCGGGTATTTGTGGTGCGTGGATGCAGGGCGGGGCAGGGCGCGGAGGGGTTGGTGCAGGCGGGGAAGCGCTGCGGGGCTGGCGCTGCATGGGGTGCCTCGGGGAGCGGTGCAGGGGGGCGGCAGTGCGCCAGGCGGCGCTGAGTGGCGTGCACGCAGGGGGAGGTGAGGTGGGCTAGTTTGAGGTGCGTGGGGTGCCTGGGGGGCGGTGCAGGGGGACGGCTGTGCGCGGGGTGGCGCCGCGTGGGGTGCATGGGGGGCGCTGAGGTGGGGGTGCACGCGGGGCGCCTGGCGGGGCGCGCGGGGTGGGGGGGCGCGGGGGCGCCTGTTCACCCCCAGGAGCAAGCTGCAGGGCAGGAAAGAAAAGTTGCGGTCAGCCTGTGGTCCAGTAGCGGGGAGACAAAGGCGACAACAAATGACAAGTAAACATCCAGCCACAGGAAGCCATTAAGGAGAGTGGGCGCTAATGAGCGCGCAGCGGGGACCCGCCGAGGAAACGCCGCGGGCCCCCGACCCGCCCGGAGCCCCGCTGGCAGGCCGTAAACCTGCTGTGCTCTTCTGTCCCCCTTTCCAGTTGTGCCATTAGAAGCCGCAATTACTGGCATCCCAATAAGAAGACTCCAGGGGTAAAAAGAGAAAATTGGGATTCTGTGATTTCGCACATTCTCACGTCTTCCCTTAACTAGCCGCGTGTGAGCACGGAGATGTGAGTACCAAGCCACTTCCCAAGGAGTCTTGTGAAACAGTTTCTCGTAAAAATCAACTCTAATGAATAACCAAATGTTCCTTTGTGCTCCCTTAAATTTTAAACTATTAAGAAATTTGTTTTCAAGTAGCAGTGGTTTGTCAAGCAAGGGTTCATGGCCTCGCTGTGACTTGGTGTCTGAACTATTTAAGATACTTACAGCTGGCTTTCATTTGGGGAGAAACAGTTCTTTCTCCGGATGGCTGGATCGAGATTTCACAAATACCCTGGGGCAGGTGGTGCGGTTCGCGCGCGCGGTCCGGGAACGTCCTCCGCGGACGCCCGGCCCGCGGCCACCCCCTCGGTCGAGGCCCCGGCGGCAGCGACAGCCAGAGGCCCTCCCGGCCAACCCGGTGAAGCCCGGCCGCGTCCACTCCGGGCCCGGCGAATCCACAGGTACCAGACCACCCACAGAGATGGGCTTAGAAATAACGTAAGGGAGCTATGCAAAGGCACTTCCAACAGAATCGTGCCTTTTAAACTTGTTTACACTTAAACATTTGAGAAAGTGAGTGGGAAAGTGGTTTAGGGTAAATTTCATTTCAGTAAGCCTATTTTAGATGCTTGGGCGAACAAGTATTGCTAAGCATTACCCAAGACTTGGAAATTGTTTCTTTATGATTTCTTTATATGCAGTATTCCCTTTCTGAGAAAAAGAGAATATATCTGATCATAACATATCTTTACAGATAACACATGACAGTGTAAACACTGATGAAGTTTAAGGAGACAAGCAAATCACTTAAATAATCCCAAAAGGAACTCTAGTGCACCCTGGCATCTCCCCACTGAGGCGGTCCTGTCTTCTACTTTGTGCCTTGCCATCTCTGTGACTTTCTTTCTTGGTGAAAATTCAAATATATTCTCATTGTTATATTTCTTGTGTTGTGCCCTGAATATCAAGTTAGAATAGCTTGATTAAGCTTTAATAATGGTATCACCCTATCCCATTGATTTTAACTGAGCTAGGAACACTTGAATTCAGAATAAAATATATGTGTTCTATATGTATGTATATATTCTATTCATTATTTTTAGTTTTGAGCCAACATTTCTGATCCTGACACTACAACGTCTCCATAAAATGAGTTGGATTTGATGGCACCTTCAGTCCCTTCTGAATCTAAAATTTTAAATTTCTTCATAATTTTTTTAAAAATATCATGTTAATATATGTCCATGTTTTTTTAAAATCACGTTGTTCAGAAGGGTTTAAAATAAAAACGACTAACTTCTGTTTCAGCCTACTCCACCCAAGCCAGCTTCCCAGAAATTTCAACTTGACCCACTTCCGTTAGTAATTATGTTTGTATAAGCCTAGTCACAAATAGAATAACCACCACCCTGGAAAAAGATTTGCAGCCTTCTGCTCTCTGTCTCTCTTTTTCTTTAGATGTATAGAAAGTGTGTTTACTGTTCTCCTTTCCCTTTCGCTGTGAGGGAGTCACACCTCTCAGAAGAATGGAGGCATCCAGGGAGAATTTTCCTTATGCAAACCTTGAGTCTCCTAGAAGATTTACCTTTTTCTTGAGTCGTAGCTCCCTTGCATTGATTTCCCAGAAGTGCAGCACCAGACCCACAGGGGTCTCCCCAAGAACCCTAACTTTACACCTTACTATTTTTCTAGTGCTCACAGTTGACTGAGAGGCAGCTTCAAGTCAAGGAACCACAGTGGCAATGAGAATCTAATTGCTGTGGGCAATTGTAAACTTCAGTAGTCATGAATTGTAATATCTACACACCAGGTACACCAGATTTGTTCATCAAAATTAGGCCCTTTCTTTCAAATCAATATTTTGGGGGAATATTTCCCCTATGAAAACAGAAATCTATAAATATAAAATTGTCTTAGAGATATTTTTAGACCATGAAAAGTTATCCAAGATTGCTTTGGCTATTTGGAGTCTTTTGTAGTTCCATACACATTTTAGGATTGTTCTGTTTCTGCAAAAAAATGTCTTTGGAATTTTGATAGAGACTGCATTGAATCTGTAGATTGCTTTGGGTTATGTGGACATTTTAGCAATATTCTTCCAATCCATAAGCATGGAATAGCTTCCCATTTATTTGTGTCTTCTTCAGTTTCTTTCATTAATGCCTCATAGTTTTCAATATACATGTCTTTCACCACCTTAGTTAAATTTATTACTAAGTTTTTTATGCTTTTTGATGAAATTGGAAATGAGATTATTTTCTTAATTTCTCTGAGAACTCGTTATTAGTGTATAGGAATGCAACAGATTTTTGTGCATTGATTTTGTCTCCTGCAACTTTACTGAATTCTTTTATTAGTCTTAAGAGTCTTTTGGTGGAGTTTTTAGGTTTTCTATATATAATATTATGTCATCTCCAAATAGTGACAGTTTTATTTCCTCCTTTCCAATTTGGATGCCTCTTATTTCTTTTTCTTGCCTCATTGCTCTGTCTAGGACTTCCAATATGGTGTTGAATAAAAATGGCAAGAGTTGGCATCCTTGTCTTGTTCAGATCTTAGAGAGAAAGCCTTCAACTCTTCATAGAGTATGATTTGGCTGTGGCTTGTTCTAGAAAGCTTTTATTATATTGAGAAATGTCCCTTCTATACCCACTTGTTCGGAGTTTTTATCATAAATGGATGTTTAGTTTTTGTCAAATGCTTTTTTTGCATCTTTTGAGATGCTCATGTGATTTTTATCCTTTACTTTGTTAACGTGGTGTATCACATTGATTGATGTGCAGATGGTGAACCATATTTGCATCCCTGGGAGAAATCCCACTTGATTACAGGGTATGATCCTTCTAATGTATTGTTGAATTTAATTTGCTAATATTTTATTGAGGATTTTTGCATATATTTTCATCAGAGATATTGGCCTGTAAATTTCTTTCCTTGTGGCCTCCTTGTCTGGTGTTGATATCAAGGTAATGCTGGCCTGGTAAAATTAGTTTGAGGAGTTCCTTCTCCTTCTAGTTTTCAGAAGAGTTTGAGAAGGATTGGTATTAATTCTTCTTTGAACATTTGATAGAAATCACCAGTGAAGCCATCTGGTCCTGGATTTTGTTGAGAGGTTTTTGTTTTGTTTTGTTTTGTTTTGTTTTTTAAGATTTTATTTATTTATTTGACAGAGAGAGACACAGCAAGAGAGGGAACACAAGCAGGGGGAGTGAGAGAGGGAGAAGCAGGCTTCCCGCCAAGCAGGGATCCCGATGCGGGTCTTGATCCCAGGACCCTGGGATCATGACCTGAGCCGAAGGCAGACGCTTAATGACTGAGCCACCCAGGCACCCCTGGGAGGTTTTTGAGTAATGATTCGATCTTCTTACTAGTAATCAGTCTGTTCAGATTTTCTGTCTTATCATGATTCAGTCTCAGTAGTTTGTATATTTCTAGCAATTCATCCATTTCTTCTAGGTTAACCGATTTATTGGAGTATAGTTGTTCATAGTAGCCTCTTGTGATCCTTTGTGTTTCAGTTGTAACTTCTCCTCTTTCATTTCTAATTTTACTTGAGTCCTCTCTCAAATAAATAAATTTATTTATATTTTTGCCAACTTTATCTTTTCAAAGAACCAGCTCTTCATTTCATTGATCTTTTCTACATGTTCATTTTTTACTTGTGCGAGAACCATGTTTTTAACTTTTTGAAAATTATACTTGAAGGGCTTAGTAAACATTAATTGCTACTCATTCATATCCAAGATAAATATGGATTGCAGTATTCTTTATGATGCAAATATTTATGGAAATAATAAAGTGAAATAATGTAGCTAACAACTAGAAAAATTAAAATTACTTATTTTGTATTTGTATAATATTTAATAAAAGACACTGAAAAATATTTAGTGAGGGAATAAGGAAAGTGCTTGCATTTCCACTCTCTCATGTGTTCAACATAATTATGATAATTTAAAAATATTTAAAGATCCTTATTTTAAAACTGTACTGGTAGGGGAGCCTGGGTGACTCAGTCAGTTAAGTGTCTGACTCTTGGTTTTGGCTCAGGTCATGATCTCAGGGTCATTAGACTGAGCCCAGCATCAGGCTCCATTCTCAGGGAGTTTGCTTGAGATTCTTTCCCTCTGCCCCACCCCCTACTCACACGCGTGTTCTCTCCATCTCTCTAAAAGAAATAAACAAATCTTTAAAAAAATGTACTGGTACAAGTAAATAGAGGAATAAAACTGGGGGAAAAGAATCTCCTACCTTTCAGTTTAAACACTTAAAAAATAAGCAGCGTGGTATATGAAAAGGACATGAGTTTTGGAGTCCATCTAACTTGGGCTCAGATCAGCACACAGCTTTGGGCAAGTTGCTTAACCCCTCAAACCCTCAGTTTTTCCAGCGGAAATTAGACTTAGTGAAAATAGCTTCCTCCCAAGCTTGTTCTGATGGCAAACCGCTGTCTGTGATAAGCCTGGAGCAGTCTGGCACGCAGGAGGAAATCAATGCATATTAAATAATGCTTTTGTACCCCATGAGTCTTAAAGTTTTATCTGCTAGTTGTATCAACTGATTTGAGAACTAATTATATGGAGGAACTACCACTATGTGCAAAATAGTTTAAAAATCTTAACTTTTATCTATTTCATGAATGAACTGGGCTATTAATATGCTAAAGATATGCTGCTCAGGTTAATAAAAATGACGCAAACCAATAACCACTTAGCCATTAACATCTTTACTACATACTGACATCACACTTTTTACTGGTGTTAATGGAATAAATTGCATGCATTCAGTATTTATTGCTGTGTAACACATTATCCCAGCAGTAGCTGATTAAAACAGCACACATTCATGACCTCACAGTGTCTGTGAGTCAGAAGTCTAGAAATGGATTAGCTGGGTATTCTGCTCACAGTCTCAAGGTTGCAGTCAAGGTGTTGGCCGGGCTGCATCCTCAGCTGGAGGTCTGACCGGGGAAGCATGAGCATCCCTACTCACGAGGATGTTGGCAGCACTCAATTCCTTTTGTTACAGGATTTATGGCGGCTAGCTTCTTCAGAGTCAACAAAGGGAGAGAGCAGGATGGAGTCTTATATGATGGTCCATGATCCCCAGAGTGGCATCCTTCACTGTTGCCATATGCCATTGGTTAGGAACAAGTCACAGGTCCTACTCTGTGATTCAGAGTTGGGGATTACACAAAGGCATAAATACCGGGAGGCAAGAATCCTGGGGACCACCTTGGAGTCTGTCTGCCACCATTGCCTTCTGTCCCCTGTGTTCATGGGCCTAACACGTGCAAGAGACACTCAGCCCCTCCCAAGGTTCCCAAGATTCTCTTCTCTTCATAACATCAGCTCAGAGTTCAAAATGTCATTATCAAAATCAGGTCAAAGTTCAGAGAAGGTTCCTGGTATAATCACTAGGTTCAGTTCCTGGGACACAGTTTCTGCCAATCTATGGTCCTATGAAACCAATGAGAAGAGTTACTTGCTCCCAACACACTGAGCATGCACTGGGGGGACAGGCAGGTGACAACAACCACAGAGAGTTCTGCTCCAAAGAAGAGAGAAATGGAAAGTCTAAAGGAGTCTCTGAATCCAAAAGGGCAAGGTTGGAAGTTCCTCTATGAGGTTTTAAGGCCTGGGAATAATTCTCACAGCTTCACCCTCTGGGCTCTTGGTTCTGCTTTCTGAGTCTTCCTTGGTTTGAAACAAAAGGTGGTGCTTGTTTGCAGCTGAGCCACTTTCTCAACCTGCTTCCTGACAGTAGAATTTAGGGGTTCAGATGGTCTCCTTTCATTTTGTACTTTCTTCATTCCTTTTTACCCAAGCTGACAGGTTTCTGCAGAAGCAATTTTCTCCAACTTTGTGTGTCTCCCATGGATTTCGATGGGACTCATTCCATGAAACAAAGACCTCACCCACAGATCTTTTTGAGATCTCTACCACTGGATCCTGCTGAGATGACCCTGGGCCAATGCCCTGAAACTCCTTAGAGGCTCCAGAATTGATTGACAGGATCTGAGCCACACCCTTAATCTTTTGAAAAGGTCCTTGTGTGACTGGAGTCCCTGACCTTGGGATCTTTGTGAGGCATCTTTTAAGGTTGTGCAGTCATGTCTTCGGCTTCTTCTCTTGACCATAATGTCTTCATTTTTGTATCTTTTGCCTTCTAGAGAAGTTGACACTCTGATTTCAGACTTCTGCACTCCAGAGCTGTGAGGGAATAAATTCTGTCGACCACTCCATTTGTGATCACTTACTGTGAGCCTCGGAGCCAATGCAGTGAGCTATAGGATGCATGCAGTGCTTCTCCCTCCAGTGTTGTGTGAACTCCACTGTTTATCAATCTAGAGTCCCACAGAGCCATGCACCTGGGGTTCCATCAGCTGACTATGGGATCATCTTTACTTCCACTAAAAGATCACGTATATATCTCTGTTTTCTTACCCTTCACATTTTAGAGATTATGCTTATGTGCCTCTGCCCCTTCCTGGGCTGAGCTCCTGTCACCAAACTTCCAGAGCTCAACTCCCAGCCCTGGTGTTTTCTAGTTGGATTTCTGGGAAGCTCCATGACCTCTCCATGTTTCATGTTTCTCATCTGTGGATGGGAAGGGCAACAACAGAGCCTACCTACCTGGTTGAGCTGTGAGGGTCGAGCTGTGAGGGACAACTGAACAGGTGCATGCCCCATGGGCTGCTCCCTGGGTGATCTGCAGGGGCAGGTGCTCATTGTTGTTACATTGTATCCTGACTACTGGTGCTGAGGATACAAACATATGTTGAATGAGTTACGATTTGATGCCATGTCCTAAACACTCATTTAGGTTTGGTATTACCAAAAAAAAAAAAAAAAAAGCCATGAATTTGTGTGTGTGTGTTTCACATTCCTTCAGATCATAGGTATAAATTTAAAACAACAATTTATGAGGCCCTTTTCTACTTTAGAAATCTAAGAAGTAAATCTTCAGCTTCCAGAAGCTGAAGGGAATGAAACAAGCTGGATAGTCAGGTTGCCTAGGTAACAGGATTTAAAAATAAAGTTTAAAACATTGCATTCATTTTTTATTTGATATTTCCAAAAATGCATCAGCTACTTGCTATGCCTTTTTCTTTTTCAGTGTGTATCATTATAGTCAGTTTTATAAAAATAAACTGGTACGATTCAATTATTAACTCTTTACCTGGCTCTTTGTCTCTTGTATTTCTAAAAATAATTAAAGGGAACACCTACCAAGTACAAGGCACTCTGCTGGGTTCTACTTTCATTACTTAATTCAGCAACTATGTATTGAAGATGTTTTAAGTCAAACCCTGGTCTGTGCTCTGGTCAATTTACTAGAACCTTGCAAAGTGGATATTTCTTTTTCTGGGGGAGAAGACAGACACACAGCTAAGAAACGAGGTCGATGTCGCGGGGAGCCCACCGAGGCTCGCTTGCAGGACTGCTGCTGCGTGGGGCGGTCTCCCACAGTAACCATGGACAGCTGTACTTGATGCACCTGTTGCTGACTTCGGTACTTTGATTTTGTAATTCTGTTATGTGTGCCTTTCTATGTAATGAAAGTTTTATACAGTTATTAAAGTTACATTATTACATCTTATTAACTACCTTGATCCAGCTAATTTCCATTCAGTAAATTTTCATTGATTGTTTATGTGCCAGCCCATGTCAGGGATTTTTAGTTTGGCTCCTTTGATAGTAAAATAGTAATAACTCAAGTGACTATAATTTAAATTTACTAGTGGAGCTGAATGTTTTCATGCAGAAATCCATTATTTCTGTTCCCTCCTGTCTGATTCTTGTCCCGGCTCTGCCCTGTGCCATCTGGAAAGAGGACGTAAAATATGCCCTCTGAAAAGCTTAATATAATCTGTAAACATAAGGGCTGTTGTGTGGAACTGTTTGTACCCGTTGAGTATTTGTTTAGCAAATTATTGGTTATGTATTCATTAATAGCAATCCGTATGCATTCTGGATGCAAACTTTCATCATGTTTCCACATTTATTGTTTTTGGATTTCATTGTCTTATACCATGAAGTTTTATTTCATTGTATATAAAGGTTTTTACAGTGTTTCTGGGTTAAACCTAACTGCTGTGTCTCTGATTTTATCATTTCTGCCCAAGAGGCAAAAATTAACTTCTCCTCCATCACCGAGATGAACAAATTGCTCTGGTAAGAAACAGTGTACCGTTCACTGTTCGCCCACCTGTAGCTGGGGGAGGCTGTAAAGCTTAAGTGCTAGGCATTTTTCTGTAGCATCTCTTCTCCACTGGTTTGTTTTTCCAGGCTTGTTCTATATTAAACTTCCATAACTTGGGGTGCCTGGTGGCTCAGTTGGTGAAGCGGCTGACTCTTGATTTCGGCTCAGGTCATGATCTCAGGGTCATGAGATCGAGCCCTGCGTGGGACTCCGTGCTCAGTGGAAAGTCTGCTTGAGATTCTCTCTCCCTCTCCCTCTGCCCCTTCCCCCCACACACTTTCTCTCTCTCAAATAAATAAATAAATCTTTAAAAATAAATAAATAAACGTCCGTAATTTGGATTTCTTCCTGCAGTTGATTCCTGTGTCCTGCCTGCAACAATTCCACGGGGATCATTATAATTGTATCATACCTTACCAACCCACACTTGACTAAGAGAATGGTGAGCCTTCTTACCCAGACCAGAGAGGGGAGAGGGCAAGCAACAGGAGACAGCCCAGGCCGTGAACCCGTCCAGCAGCGCTGCACACCCAGGGCCTTGAACCCACTCCACGTTGTACCAAGCCCTGAGCATCTCCCGCGTCGGCCCTACAGCCCTGCTGCTCTGGTCTTCTCCAGCCTCTGCTGACTGGTTTTCTGCAGCTGGTCAGCTGCTGTGGCCTCTCTCCCGCTTTGGTGACGGACGTGCTGCCCATTGTCCAGCCTCTACAGCTGGTCTGAGCGCGCTGGCCTCACCCTGCTTCCTGCTTTGTCAACTCCGACCGCCCCTTGGGGTCAGGTGGGAGGGAAGGGTGCTGCCCTCGGGGCTCACAGCTCTGCTGGCCCCTAACGGCTGTTCCTGTAAGTTCCAAGGATCTCAGGTGGAATGCATTGTAATGACATTAAACACCAAGATTCTTTCCTGCCGAAGGTCCATCGGGGACTCCATCCTTCAGCCTGGGGCTCATCTCTAGGGTGCTCCTGGGGTCCTGGTTGGCACTGGAGCTCCCATCACAGTTTCCACCGGAGTCTTGGCTCCCCCATGCCTCGTGGGCTCAGGCCTCTGAGGGCACGTGGATGTAGCCCCAGGCGGACCCTGCTCAGAACCTTTCTGGATTCAAACACAGCGGAATATTTCTTGATGCGCAGCCAGGCGTCCGGGACCACAAATGACTCCCCTGCCCATACTGGGGTGATAGTGCCAGGGTCTGCATGGAAACAGCGCAGCTCGTTGGCCCTCAGACGGCCGCAGTGACCATTTTAATTCTTGGGTTCCAACCTGCTGTGGGCTTAGAGCTTGACAGAAATAAGAGTGTAAAAAATGTGTCTAATGACCATATTTTATAAGAAACACAACAAAAGAATCAGATAATTGACCAACTATGTCGACAATTAAACTTCTCCATTAAGTCCAGATGAATGTCTATCCCGCCTGCAAAGGACATGCCTGAGCTTACATGGCTGCTTTTACACAACGGCCATGCAAAAGGCTGCAAGGTGGAAGGAAGTAGTGTTCAGGAGCTGGAATCTAGAGGCACCTGTCTGGGTTCAGTTCCAGCTCCGCCACATACGAGCTACGTGACTAACAAGTCACTCTGTCCTCCCTCGGTTTTCCTCCTCTGGGGACTGGGCTTAAAAACAGCAGTGCCTCGCTTCTGTGGTTTCCTCCAGAGCCAAGGTCGTTGATACGGACGAAGTACTGAGAGGTGGGCTTGTTGTGGTAAATCCTCTGTAAGTGCTTGCTACTACTGTGTTTTCTATCAATACGTCAGTAATTATGTTTATGCACTACATGGACTCTGTGACATGTATTTTGATTCTTTAAGGTCATTTGGCTTAGTTACTGTTGTCAGCAAAGTTCCAAATGGTGGAAAGAGCTGGATTGTTAACCCATATTTAGAAGAGATGTCACCACGTGCCTCAGTGATGCACTCAGAGTTGATCTAGAACTTTCTTTGTAGTATGATTTTAAAAGACACACACATATACACAAATACATGCATATGCTACATCTCATGCACTCATTTGTGCAAAATCATACAGGTAGATTTAAAGCCACTATGACGAGCAAAAAGCACTGTGCTGTGAGTAATGGAAATAATAAGGCTAGCATGCTGAAGTGGATTATCTCGTTTGATTCTGATTACTCTGTTGTGGGTAGAATGCAGTTTTTCATGGTATAGTCTTCTCCACTGGGTTCGAGTTCACAGGAAATTGTACCCTAGATTCCTTGACACAAAGCACCATTTTGATCAAATAATCAGTTATTGTTGGTGCTTTGTAAGCAAAGCCCACACAACCAATATTTGTTGTGCAAAGTGTATGTATGCAAAGTAGCAAATGAAATATAATTTTTGATTATTTTGAAAACTATTAAGTGATTTCTGGTACCAGAAATAATTATTTAATTATAATTATTTTCTATTACTAATACATATATATTTTTATTGATTATCTTTTTAAATTTCCTCAAGTATAATTATTAATAGAACAATGCCCACCTGAGAAAATGTTGGCTGAAAATAATTAATGATATCTTCCAAACCTACCAAAATCTACTAAACACTAGTGGTTTTACTTATGTCTCAGTTCCTACTAAATTATTCACATTTAACAACATCCATTCATGACAAAAACCCTCAGCAAAGTAGGCCTAGAGGGACCATAATTCAACATAATAAAGACAGAGATGAAAAAACCCACAGCCAACATCGTTAACTCGATGGTGAAAAACTGAGAGCTTTTCCTCTAAGGTCAGGAACAAGACAAGGATGTCCACTCTCACCACTTCTATTCAACACAGGACTGGAAGTCCTTGTCTTAGCAATCAGACAACAAAAAGAAATGAAAGGCATCCAAGCTGGTAAGGAAGAAGTAAAACTCTCACTCTTTGCAGATGACATGATACAACCTATAGAAAACCCTAAAGACTCCCCGAAAAACCACTAGAATGGATAAATGAATTCAGTAAAGCCACAGGATACAAAATCAATGTACAGAAATCTGTTGCTTTCCTATATACTAATAATGAAGCAGCAGAAAGTGAAATTAAGAAAATAATACCATTTACAATTGCACCCAAAACAATAAAATATCTAGGAATAAACTTAACCAAAGAGGTGAAAGAACTGTCCTCCAAAAACTACAAAACACTGATGAAAAATATTCAAGATGATGTAAAGAAATTGGAAGATATTCCATGCTCATGGGTTGAAAGAACAAATATTGTTAAAATGTCTATACTACTCAAAGCAATCTACAGATTTAATGCAATCCTTATCAAAATACCAAAAGCATTTTTCACAGGACTAGAACAAACAATCCTAAAATTTGTATAGAACCATAAAAGACTCCAAATAGCCAAAGCAATCTTGAAAAGAAAAAAAAAAAAAAGATGGAGGTATCACAATTACAGATTTCAAGTTATATTAAGGAATGGTAGTAATTGAAACAGTCTGATACTAGCATCAAAATAGACACATAGATCAATGGAATAGAATGGAAAACCCAGAAATAAACCAACAAATATATGGTCAATTAATCTTCAACAAAGTAAGAAAGAATGTCCAATGAGAAAAAGACAGACTTTTCAACAAATGGTGTTGGGAAAACTGGACAGCCACATGCAGAAGAATGAAACTGGACCACTTTCTTACACCATACACAAAAATAAACTCAAAATGGATTAAAGACCTAAATGTGAGACCTGAAACTATAAAAATCCTAGAAGAGAACACAGGCAGTAAAGTCTTTGACATTGGCTGTAGCAACATTTTTCTAAACATGTCTCCTGAGGCTAGGGAAATAAAAGCAAAAATAAACTAATGGGATTACAACAAAATAAAAAGTCTCTGCACAACGAAGGAAACACAACTAAAAGGCAACCTACTGAATGGGAGAAGATATTTGCAAATGACATATCCAGTAAAGGGTTAATATTCAAACTATATAAAGAACTGGTACAACTCAATGTACAAAAAACAAATAATCCAATTAAAAAATGGGCATAAGAAGAGCGCCTGGGTGACTCAGTTGGTTAAGCACTGCCTTCAGCTCAGGTCATGATCCTAGGGTCCTGGGATTGAGTCCCTCATCAGGCTCCCTGCTCAGCAGGGGATCTGCTTCTCCCTCTCCCTCTGCCCCTTCCCCCTACTCATGCGCACACACTCTCTCTCTCTCTCTCTCTCTCACTCAAATAAATAAATAAATCTTTAAAAAAATAAAAAATGCACAGAAGGGATGAACAGACATTTCTTCAAAGAAGATATCCAGATGGACAACAGACACATGAAAAGATGCTCAACGTCACTCATCATCAGGGAAACACAAATCAAAACCACAATGAGATATCACCTCACACCTGTCAGAACGGCTAAAATCAACAACCCAAGAAACAACAGGTGTTGGAGAGGATGTGGAGAAAAAGGATCCCTCCTGCGCCCTTGGTGGGAATGCAAACTGGTGTAGCCACTGTGGAAAACAATATGGAGGCTCCTCAAAAAGTTAAAAATAGAGCTACCCTATGATCCAGTAATTCCACTACTGGGTATTTACCCCAAAAATACAAAAACATTAATTTGAAGGGATACATGCACCCCTATGTTTACAGCAGCATTATCAACAATAGCCAAACTATGGAAGCAGCCCAAGTGTCCATTGATAGATGAATGGATAAAGAAGATGTGGTCTATATATAATGGAATATTACTCAGCCATAAAAAAGAATAACATCTCATCATTTGCACCTACATGGATAGAGCTAGAGAGTATAATGTTAAGTGAAATAAGTCAATCAGAGAAAGACAAATACCATATGATTTAACTCATATGTGGAATTTAAGAAACAAAAGAAATGAGCAAAGGAAAAAAAGAAAGGAACCAAGAAACAGACACTTAATTATAGAGAACAAATTGATGGTTACCAGATGGGAGGTGGGTGGGGGGATGGGGGAAATAGGGGATGGGAATTAAAGGATATACCTATGATGAAAAAAAATAAAATAAAATAAATTTTAAAAAGTAAATATTCACATTTCTTATATTAAACTTCTCTAAGTTAACACTTTTATCTTGGTAATAACCAACTCTTGAGAGAGCAAGTTTACAGAGCTCTAATTCTGTAACAAAGGTGAGCTGATAATTTCAGAAATGGGAAAGATTACAACTACCCTCTTTAGGCTTAAAACAGGG